TAGATGTGACCGGCTACTGTTTATTGCTGGAAGAAGCAAAACATTTGATTAAAATATCAGATAGAAGAATGATAAGAATTGAATAAAAAAACACCCTTTAAAAATGAAACCAGAAACTTTAGTTATGAAAATAATAGAAGCTATGGAAACGAATTCGCCGACTCTAATAACTTACAACGGTAAAAAAGTGCATATAACCCAAAAGATTATCGATAAATACAAACATTGCAAAGTCAGAGACGATATAGACTTGGAAAGAATTGATGAGAATTTAACTAAAAAAGGTGGATTTTTACCTTTCTTACCTTTAATCTTTGCTGGTTTAACTGCAGCTGGTGCAGCTACTGGAGGAATATCTGCCGCAGTCAAAGCTGCCAACGCAAATAAAGCAGCTGCAGTAAAAGAAGCTGAAGAACATAGACAAAATTTGGCAATGGAAAGAGAAGCACGAGGAGGTTCGGGAATAGGAGATATATTAGGGACGGTTAAAGAATTCGGACAAAGATTTGGCGAAGAAACCAAGAAAACCGTTAAAGAGGGATTAAGCAAATTAATAGATAAAATCGACACCGGAGAAATGAAGGTCAAACACAAGGGTGACGCCATATTTTTTAAAAACATACGTTCGGGCGAGGGAATCTTCCTTTCAAAGTATAAAGGCAACGGGGTGATTTTTGGTACGAAAATGTAATAAATAAAAATGGGCAAAAAATTTAATCATTCAGAAATATTTCCTAATAACCCAATGCTCATGTGTATATGCGGTAGTTCAGGTTCTGGGAAAACTCATCTCACTTTTAACATGTTGACAACACCAAACCTTTTAGATTTCGATTCTCTGTATATCTACACAACAACACCAGAGCAATCGTATTATCAATTCCTCAAAGCTTTGGAATATTTACCAAAGAAAGATGTTCAAGACATATTTCAATATTACGAAGAAAACGAAGAAGAGGTGGAAATAAAAGATATCATAGAAAACTTCATTAAATCAAAGAATCCATCTTTCAATCCAACGGATATAAAAGTTTTTCTTACGAAAAATGTTAATGATCTAGACTTGTCTAATATTGATAGCAATCGCAAGAACTTAATATTGTTTGACGACTGCGTAGCGCAGAGAAATCAAACTGTTCAACAAGAATTCTTCACCAAAGGAAGACATCACAACTGTCACTGCATATACCAATCCCAATCTTTTTACGGGATGGATTCTATGTTCATTAGAAAAAATGCAAATTGTTTTTTATTATTTGAATTAAACGATAAAGATTTATCTCAAATCATTCAGGCTATAAATCACGGAATGGATAGAGATACATTTAAAAAGGTTTGTAAAGCTCAATGGAGAAACCCAGATGATCATGGATATGTATTTGTAAATACTAGAAAACCTGCGGGAGAAAGAGTTATGATCGATATATGATCGATATTTTATTTTTTTAAAAATGACGGATTGGAATAATTTTTTAAAAAGAAATAGAGAATATATCAAAGCTAAGAATAAAAAAGACCCAAGTTGAAAATAACAGATTACAACAACTCGGATTAACGGAAAATCTACAGACTCTATTTCAACCCATATTAAAATCTCAAGAGGATATTAAAAAGAAATTAGCTTTAGAACCCACACCTCATATAGAACCCAAACCGATTGAATATAATGGTATTATAATGACCCAGATTTACCAAAGAGCATTTCACCAATCGTTGATAATCAAGGTTTATTGTTTAATGGATTTAGAATAATATTTAGTCCAAATTCCCCTTTATTCAAAATCGACACAAAAGACTTTATATTTACATTAACGAAAGGATTAATAGATTTAATGAATGGCGAGGATGTTGAAATCGCCGATTTACAAGGATTTAGTTGCATACTCAAAATTTCTACATGCGATCAGAAAGTCAGGACCCGAAACAAAAAGATTGAAAACAGTTGAAACATATTTAAATAAAGTTATTCCTGATGAAGAGAAATCAGACGATTATGCAGAAGATTATCCACCAATCATACAAGAAATAGACGAATTCGATGATATGGTGGCATCTGGTCAAGGTATAACGTTTTTATCCGACGACAATAAAGAATTGCTTAATAGATTAGAAATAATATTAGCGGCCATGAAGGAAGGTCATCGATCGGACAGACAATACAACGAAGTCAATGCCACATTAAAACGACTTTTGGAGAAAGAAATCATCACTAAAAAAGACTATATAAACGTCATTAAAAATGTCCAATAAAGAACAATTGTTCGTTATCACCTCGAATAAACCAGACATCAAATTGTCTCTAGACTACGAGTATGAACTCGATCGCAATAAACAGTACGAACTGGGATTAAAGTATTTCTCCGTTTACAATTCCATTAGAAACATCAACGAAAAAAACAATCAACTAAAAATATCGACGGATAACGGAGTTACGTTCGAAACCATAAGCTTACTACCGGGGAGCTACGAATACGTAGCCATCAACGATTACCTATCCGAATACACAGGAAGCGTGAACGGCAAAAACAATATCGAATTCGAAGGTAATTTGAATCTGAACAAAATAAAACTGATCTTGAGAAATAACAGTCAAGTCGATTTCAACGTAGAAAATTCGTTGAATGCGTTACTGGGGTTCGATAAACGAATATACGCGCAATCGACATTGGCGCCGCACAAGGCCAACATCGAGAACGACATCGACGTGATCAACATTCACTGTAATTTGATCAACGGTGGATTTTTCAACAAGCACAAACGCCAAATCATATACAGCATACCGACTTTTACGTTGCCGATCGGATACAGAATTATAGAGAAACCGTTTCAAACGACCTATTTACCAGTCAATTCTTTCATGATCAAAGATATAAATCTGGAAATCAAAGACGGTAAAAACAGGTTCATAGACTTTGGCAACGAAGAAATTGTCATTCAACTTCATTTAAAACAATCTTCATTCATCTTCTTGATTAGAAAGATAATCGAAATCATCAAATTCATAGTTTTCGTCAAAACTATACTCATCTTTGTCGTTGTAAGGATACATAATTCCTTCACTGTTTGGTGGTTTTCTTGTAACATTATTCAAATAACTTCTAAAAACTTTAGTTTGTTTATCATTTGGAATAACTACTCCATTGGTGAAACTTTTTTCCCACGGTTTATTAAATTCGTTCGACACATCATGTCCGCTTGCTAACTGAACGTAATCTTCTACACTTATCTTATCATTAGAATAACCTTTAAACGTTTTCTTTTCTTTTAAAACACCATCAGAAGTCAAAACGATGTTGTATTTGACTTTTGGTGCTAAATATAAACCAAATATAATTCCACCGTCACTGTAATCGTTTTTACCTTTGCAATAGTCTTTTTCGGAGACCAAACCAGCTCTGTTTAGTTTTTTCCAATTTTTGGATGAAATGTACAAACTATCGGTGTCGGTATAGTATATTTCGGGTTTATAAAATCCATTTATGACGTGAATGAAATTGTTCATTATTTTTTTACTGTGAGATAAAACGAATGATCCCAAATGACTAGGTGTTAGTCGTGTAGATTTACTGTATTCAGTAGTAATCTCTTTTTCTTCAATTTCCGTTTCAACAATATATTGAGTATCATTAATTTTCTCATAGGTTTTAACGCGTGAATCAAAGTTGGCCTGTAAAGTTGCTTCATTCCATAAATGTCTAGTTGTGAATATATCTTTCTGAATTGATTTACCATACAAGGAATTACCTAATAATTTCATGCAATTACTACCCACGATATTACCTTCTCGTTTATATTTATTTCTTAAATCTCTCAAAATTAAAATATATCTCTATAGGGTGGAGTT